GCTGGATGGTGCTGACCCCTGTTGTATTATTCGTCTTGTCCTTTTGTGTCTAATTTGTCCACCATGACATGTGCGTCCCTGGTGGGAATTTCGATCCTCAACTGGGTAATGCAGATGATCTGGTCTTCGTATATACGGGTTCACGAGGTAGTGTTTGGTGCTATATCCGTCTAATGATTCCTTTTTGTCTCGTTTCTCCGCTGGGTGATTTGTGCTCTTACGCTTTAGATCGTGGTTAGTCGAGGGGAATTCTCTGCGTGTTGGTGACATCTCTGGCGATAGCTCATGTGGAAAGAATAATAAGAAGTCAAAAGTACAGAAAGACTTAATCCGAGAACTCACCAATAAAGCTACTAGTGCCTGGCAGACGCTCACTTAGCAGCTCTCCTTCAACACGGGCGCAAGGATAAAGCGACCTAGATATGCTCACGTATATTACGAGACATTCTGGTGATCGTTGCCCCACTGCTGAGAATGTAGCACGTGCTGGGATTCCATAAGGAATTAAGTCAGTTGAAGTGAGAATCAAAGGTTGGCGAAATTCCTTGGACTTCAGTCGAGAGTTTAGTCTTCAGATTCCAGATCAGGATTTACAAGGCCTTGCTTTCAAAGTGATTGTGTTTGCCTCGTTTCAAAGCAAGGGGGTGTGATATCACGAGCATTCCATCTGGCCACGTGTCTCCTCTGCTCCCTTCCTCTGGAATAATGATGATGAGGACGCGGTGATGATGATGATGATGATGATGATGATGATGATGATGAGGAGGAGGAGGAGGAGGACCATGATGATGATGGTGATGGTGATAGACAAATAAATTAGATACGTTCTATTTGTCGTCCATTGTTGCTTTGATGTTGATGATGATGATGAGGAGGAGGAGGAGGAGGGGGACCATGATGATGATGATGGTGATGGCGATAGACAAATAAATTAGATACGTTCTGTTTGTCGTCCATTGTTGCTTTGATGTTTGTGTGACTCGTGTGGCAGGGGACTGAGTGAGTTGATTTGACAGAAAGTGGATTTTTTTTCGAATTGCATTGAAGGTGGAGAAAGATGGGGATCAGATGGATTGCACGGCTGGATGCCTTCCCTAGGACGGAGGACCATCTCATGCAGAAGACGAAATCTGGTGCTGTAGGTAAGAAAAAACCGGGAAGGTGGATGTGGCGTCGTGGTTGTGAGGGGGGGGAGGGAGGGAGGGAGGGTAAGGGAATGGGATGAGAACAGATTCGGCTGGGAACTGGATCCAAAGACTTAGCATGGCGTGACAAGATAACCTGTGGTGGTCTCATATTCGGTCCCAAAAGGAACTAGAAGTGAAAGCACCAGTCTGTCTCAAGAGTTATCTTGTGCGGCGTAGCTTTGCTGCGACCCTCTGTTTCAGACACACACACACAGAGAGAGAGAGAGAGAGAGAGAGAGAGAGAGAGAGAGAGAGAGAGAGAGAGAGAGAGAGAGAGAGAGAGAGAGAGAGAGNAGAGAGAGAGAGAGAGAGAGAGAGAGAGAGAGAGAGAGAGAGAGAGAGAGAGAGAGAGAGAGAGAGAGAGAGAGAGAGAGAGAGAGAGGTGGTTATGGATGCCAGCTATGGTGGTGGGGGCAATGAGAACCTGAAAATGAAAGAAAACGTACAACAAATTACTTAAATGAGAAATCCTTTGCACGTGAGGAGCCGAAATCCTTTGGAAGTGTGGGGAGACCAAATGGTTTGTTGCAAGTGTGAGGATGTGCCCTCAAGGGGGCCCTAGACAACATGCATATGTTCTGCCGGTGGCCCCCAGCAAGGCTCGTGCCCGCCCTAAGTGAAGGCGGGCCTGAATATTCACCAGAGGTCCTTATCTCATGATTTTCCAATATGGTTCTCAGACAGTTGTAAGGCCGACATGTCACGAAGTGGCCATGGGCCATTGGAATGCAGAATTGTTGTCACATCCACCCTGCGGGCCAATGCAAGCACAGCAAACATATGGAGACTGGAAAATCTTGAGTGTGCCCAACTGAAAAGGGCCCAGGCCCTCAACTGTGGAGATGGGCCTGGGCGCAGACACGGGCCTGACCAGAAGCTACTGGAAGCTTCCACGGCCAGGCCCAGACAAACCAGCAGCAGCAACATCCCCATGTAGAAAGGAGGCCAGCCAGGCTCTGGCATTCTGGCCTAGTCAGGCAATGTGGACACGCTGCTACGATTGCGCGCTGTACGACTGCTGTCTGGCACTCGCACGGGGCGCTGCAGGGCAGCGGGGCGCTAGCGGCCATAGCCGGGCTGCAGGGCGCGAGGGGCAGGTGAGGCCGACGGTGGGTGGTCAAGGGGTGATGAGGGGAGTCGAGAGTACGTACCTGGTGTATGCTGGAGGTTGGCATTGGTGTTGACGTTATGTACATTGGTCTTCAAAGTCGAAGTGAGCCTGTTGCATGAATGTAGATAGGCTAGGTAGGATGAGTAGAGTAGGCTGGGCGCTGGGCGCCAGACAAAAGGAGGGACATTGAATACTGCGTTCGTGTGGCCTGAGGGCTTGAACATTGGCTCACGAGTTCATTATATTGCTCTTATTTGGATGGAACCTTGGTGCATTTGAGTTCTCTGCTTGTTACATGACTATCTGGACTTCTGCTCGATTTTGTAACTTGGTTTTCTGTATATCTCTCTCGCTCATATTCCTTGCAATTTGGTATCGCCTTACCTGCCGCCGGCGACATTGTTACTTGGTGTGCTGACGATGCTTCTGTGCAGTGAGAACACATCAGCGCTGGCTTTATTATGCGACACCTGGGTAGAGGGGTGAGTCGCAGGAAGGCTGTGGGTACAACGTGGCGGCGACAGCGGATGTATGTGTGATGATGAGAGCATGCTGATGTGGCATTTTGGCTGAGGTGGCACTGCATTGCGTTGTGGGTGGTACAGAAGCTACGACCGGTCATCGAAATGCACATTGGCTCAATAGGTGAGAAATCTGTGGTTGGGGCAGCTATCTCTAGGTACGTACTTTGATCCCTTACCTTATCTTCCCTCTCAATGTCTTCTTACCGTGAGGAAGTGAGTCCAACCTTGAGTGTCCTCTATTCAGTGAGGGGTTGTGAGCGCTCTACCTCGAGGGGCGACATTCTTCCCAGTGGTGCATCTGGCAGGAGAGGGTGGTGCCTCCTTAGGGCCCTGGTCGAAGCATGGGTCACGGGCACCATGCCAACCCATGAGAGTAGAGCACACATGCTTTGCTGCTTTGTCCTTTGAGCTCGTGTTGCTCTGTAGAGGGAACGTGGACTGACCAGTCCTATGCTAAACGTCTACCGGACCGTCTATGAATTGTTTCTGGCAGGATTTGATCTGAACACTGCCTGTGATCGTCGCCCTGTCTGCAACGCGAAATAATTCCTGAGGACCTTGGGGGCTGTCCTTAAACTGCCTCTTGATCAGTCAGATCAGTCAGATGTAAGGCACGTTGCACGTGAGGATAGAGAAAGGGCAGTACTGGTCATAAGCGAATTCCTGGGCACCGGGGTGGGCTGTTAATGCACACCTTAGACACGGTTGCTTGGTGATGCGGACAGGTATGTTGGATACAGGGGAAGGGAGATTCCAATTGATGCTCAACTGTAAATTACAACCATACCCATTGTGCATATATGTACTCATATGATTTATTGTTATTGTTGATTAGTTGGTGGACATACTTCTAACACCTAACATACAACTTAGATTGGTACTGAAGTGTTCCACCATAGCCAGTCCTTATCGAAGCTGCTGTGAGTGAAACTAGTCATGGTAGGAGTTGATCATGTGTACAGTTTGTGTAAATGCTGTTGATACCGCTTGAACAGTAGCCTAGGTAACTTACTGAATGTTAATTTATTTTTCGAACTCCGTCAAACACATGCTGTGGTAGGCCCCAGTGAGGGCAGTAGTGCAGAAAGTGTTTGCCTAGTTGATGAGTGGATCAGGTAGTGGGGAGGATAGATCTGTAGGAAGGAGGGTGACTCGTCAAGAATCCCTTAGGATTCCGATCGTGCATCAAGCTGTACCACCTAGGGGAAGAGGGGCTATACGAGCAGCTGAACGCTTTTGTAGGGCTACAGAAGCGGTAGCAGCAGCCGAGCAAGCGCTAGCCGCGGCAACAACAACTGCAACAGCTATGGATACTTCTGCTGCTACATCCAGTCAGATGAGCGTAGGCATGCCAACCAGTTCAAATGCCATACCAATCTCAGTGGGATCAAGCAGTACTTCTAGTCAGATGGCGGGCTCGCAGTACAGCTCGCCACCTCCACGCACTAGAGAAGCCATTGAACTCCAGCAAGTGGAGTTTATCCGCTTACGGTTAGAGAAGGAACTTAGAAAAGCTATTGAAAGAGAAACGAAGATTAGAATTAGGAAAGCTAGAGTAGAGAATAGGAGGGCAGTCAAAGCTGCTGTAGAAGGGTTAGACGACATTGTAATTGATAATAACATGAAAATTCTTAAGGCAGGTCTCTTGTCCATGCATGCATACATGGACAGCAAACTGGACGCTATTTAGGATACCCTTGACCAGATACTGAGCACCATGCAGGGAATGGGAAGGGCTTTCCAATCTCCAACATGTGGGCCTAGTTTCCGGCCTCTAGTGTTTCCATCACCGGTTTCCTCGTCGGTGATGACCAGTCCCACTATGTCTCAGTTTAGCAGTTCACCAAGTGGTACTTCAGCAGCGGCAACACAAATTGCTGCTTCTTCATCTTCTGGCCCAACGGTTGGTGCTACACAACAGAAGGTCCCACCAGCGCCGACTGAAGGCAGGCACGAAGTGCAGCAAGACATGCTGGACAACAACAACTTTGGTACCCCAAAGCTCCTTTGAAATCACCCTCAACATTCTCAGGTGATAAAAAGGATAAGGCTCTCCACACTTGGTTGAGAACGGTGCCAGTGTGGGTCAGGGCAAAGAGGATGCAGGTAGAGGAAGAGGTGATCACTGCTGCCTCGTATATTGAGGGTTCGACAATGCGATGGCTAGATGGATTAGTGGCCTCGAAAGGGTTCGTCAACCGCATGAATTATTGGGTTAAGACCCATACCTTAGAGAGCTTTATGGAATTGGTAGAAATGCGATGGCACAACCCGCAACAGGCCCAACATGCCATTGATGCGTTGACCCGGCTTGATACTAAGAAATACAAGTCTGCGCGTAAACTTACCTCTGTTGTGGAGCGTCTCATTGTCATCCTCGGCGTGCGCTGTGATCCACAGTTCCTCATGACCATGTACTTGAGATGTCTTCCCATAGACGTGAAGAACGTGCTGGTTAGTGAGGCCAATATCAAATATCACACTCTCGACTCCTTCAACAAGAAGGCCCTAGACTTAGAGGCTAGGCTAGGAGGAGCTCGACAACCCTCTATAGACGGGAGAACGAAGAAGAGTCCAGAAGAGTGGAAGAAGAAAGGTAGTCGATTGATGATGGTTGATTTTGAAGGGAATGAAATTGAGATTGATGATCATTCTGACTTAGTGGACGGTACAGAGTTTGAAGACGAGGATAGTGCTGAGGGTATGAACCTCGCTTCGTTAGTAAAGGTTAAGGCAAACGGCCGTGGCAAGGGCGGTCAATCAAAGAGTCAGGGGCAAACCCAAAACTCAAACAAGGTACCAGCTTGGGTGAGGGTGGGGGTGGAATAAAATGTATGACGAGACCACTATTTGCGAGGAGCTTGCATCAACTGCGACGAGTATGGCCATTCGCAGTTCAGATGCAAGAACGCGAAGGTAACGCAAAAGATTTCCCCGAAAGGTGGATTTGAGAACTCTTCTTCCCGTAGTGGGGCTTCTACGAGCTCTAATTTGGGAAACACATCGGACCAATAAAAGTTGTAGCTGCTTCTACTCCTGATGAAGTGGGCGATGTACCCTCCCCACTTCAAGAGTTGGTTGAAGTTGTTGACTTTTTAGTCACCCCGCAAATACATTCTGACCCAACGATCCTATGTTGGTTGGATGTGTTTGAGGCGTTAGAGGACTTGCAAAGTGAGTGGTAGGCAAGGGACCGTCGCAAGTTTTGGGTGGCTCTAAGCAAAAGTCCTAGAGGGGAGCTCTTCGTTGTGGAAGTCGGTGTAAGGTGGGACGGGGTTGAACGCTTGGGTAGATTTGTAGCCTCTACCTTAGCCAACAAAGCGCGCATGGTTGTTCATGACTACGTTAAAGACGTAGTCTGCACCTTCTATTATGGAGGTGGGGAACTTAATCATAAGATTTCGTTTCTAGTCAGCGACGAATTGCCTTTGTTAGGTATGTACTACGTCGAGGTTGCAAAGCCCTGGTTTGAGTTGGACTGAAAGGTACTTTCGGATGCACTACCAGAAGGGAGGACAGTCAGACTTGCAAAGTATAAGGCTAGCAGTCTGATGGATACTTACGGGTGTATGTGTGCATCTGCCTTCTATACTCGTTATAATCAAAACCAAGAGGAGGGTATGCACTTAGTTTTTGTCTGTAAGAAAGGGGTATGCACTTAGTTTTTGACTCTAAGAAAGGGGAGGCCTTTAAAACACCCCCAGAGATAGAAAATGTCGTCGCAAGGTACCCTGATCTGTTTGAGGAGCCTTAAGGAGTTGTAGAAAGGGAGGTTGTCCATGCCATAGAGATAGTTTGAGGGAGCAAGAAACCCAAAGGAAGATTTTATAGGATGACACCGACCGAGCTAGACGAACTTAGGCGATAACCGAAAAAATTCACAGAGAAGGGTTGGATACGGTCTAACACCTGCCCCCTCGGCTCACCAGTCCCATCTGTCTCGAAGAAGGGGGGGACACTGAGGATGTGCATTGATTATAGAGGCCTCAATGCCATTACTATGAAGAACGTAGAGCCTCTACTACGCATCGATGACCTTCTGGATAGGGTGTAGGGATGTAAGTACTTATCTAAGACTTAAAATACGACTACCATTAGATTCCCATTAGACCAGAGGATCAGCGCAACGGCATATACGAGTTTGTGGTGATGCCCTTTGGTCTTTCCAATGCGCCGGGTACGTTCCAGTACGCCACGAATAGTATATTCCATGACTACTTACATCTGGGATGGAAGCATAAATTTGCTCTAGACTTCCTCCTGCCTGAAAACTGATCTGCTGCAACTATTGGAACCATTGAATTTGGTGTCCAATATGAGAAGTTGTGGCAGCAAGTTGTTGAACACATCAAGAAATCTGAAGAAGCAATGATTGCTTATGAGAACAAACATTGATGACAATCCACGTTTCAGGTAGGGGAACATGTCTGGGTTAAGTCTAATGAGTTAGGACAGGGATTCGACATTTCTAGGAAACTAATGTCTCAATTCTTCGGTCCTTGGGAAGTCTTGGATATCGTGGGCAGTGAACTGGATGGCCCCTTGTATGTGATTCGTATCCCTGGTCACTTGCGCACGTACCCTGTGTTTCACGCCTCACAGCTTGCACCTTTCGCTGAGACACAACAGTTCCCATGAAGAAGATCAATGCTGCACCCAACCATGGATGGCCACCTGGACGTCGACGACATTTTGGAGCATAGAGACATGCCTGTTCCTAAGCTTGAGTAGAGGAAGACCGCCGAAACCCAAGAGGGAGTACCGAGTCAGATTCAGGCATCATACGGATCCAAAAGAAGACCGATGGTTCACCAGAGATGAAGTAATTGAAACAACACCTCAGATTGTGGCAGACTATGGAAAAAGGTTGAATGGGAAGTCACCTGCATAAAAGCATCTCAGCGGACTTTCGAAGCTAAGGGGGATGGACAGTGAGGAAAGTGCCCTCAGGGGGCCCTAGACAACATGCGTATGTTCTAACTGTGGCCCCCAACAAGGCTCGTGCCCGCCCTAAGTGAACGAGGGCCTGAATATTCACGAGAGGCCCTTATCTCAACATTTTTCAATATGGGTCTCAGACAATTGCTGCACGCCCGTTGGTTGAAGTGCAACCTGGTCTTAATCGTGGGCTCTTCCAGAAGAAGCAGCTGCATCAGGTAGTGAGCCCAGGACGCAGGTGGTTGCGCCTTAGGCACACGCGGTGTGAGGCCGACACATCACAAAGTGGCCATGGACCAATGAGAATGCAGCATTGTCGTCACATCCACGCTGCGGGCCAATGCAAACACACATCACGAAGTGGCCATGGACCAATGAGAATGCAGCATTGTCGTCACATCCACGCTGCGGGCCAATTCAAACACAACAAACATTCGGAGCCTGGAGAATTTTGGGTGTACCCAAGTGGAAAGGGCCCATGCCCTCAACTGTAGAGATGGGGTTGAGCGGAGACACTGAGGCTCAAACAGGAGCTACGAGAAGCTTCCATGGCCAGGCCCAGACATGCCTGCAGCAGCGACATCCCCCATATAGGGAGGAGGCCAGCCAAGCTCTGGCATTTTGGACTAGGCAGGCAATGTGTACAGGCTGCTGTGATTGCGCACAATTGTTTGCATGTGTGACTATTGGCTGGGGCGTGCGCGGGCGCTGTGTGGTGAGGGGCGCTGCAGTGCAGCGGGGCGCTAATGGCCATAGCCGGGCTGCAGGGCGGGAGGGTCAGTTGAGGGCGACGGTGGTCTTCAGGAGGAGGGGCAAGTGTGGGTGGTCAAGGAGTGATGAGGGGAATCGAGAGTACATACCTGGTGTATGTGGGAGGTGGGCATTGGTGTTGGCATCATGTACATCGGTCTTCAAAGTAGAAGTGAGCATGTTGCATGAATGTAGATAGGCTAGGTAGGACGAGTAGAGTAGGCTGGGCGCTGGGCGTCGGACAAGAGGAGCGACATTGAGTATTGCGTTGGTGTGGCCTGAGGGCTTGAACATTGGCTCATGAGTTCATTGTATTGCTCTTATTTGGATGGAATCTTGGTGCATTTGAGCTCTTTGCTTGCTATATGACTACTTGGACTTCTGCATGATTTTGCGACTTGGTTTTCTGTATAGCGCTCTCGCTCATATTCCTTGCACAAGTGCAGAGGAGGCAACAAAGCTATGAATGGAGTATAATAATCCGGTAAAGTTTGTTGTCTGCTCAATTCCCATTCCTCCATCATTTCCGTGTGTCGTTGGAGGTGGTTCTTCTCCAACTCCCATTCCCGCCATCATGTTCCTGGTCTGGGTTTTGGATCTTTTGTGCGATTGTGTGAGCTGCGTCTACCTTTACCCCTCCGATACAACACACCCTAATCATGAATGCATATGAAAACGATCTACCCCATATGTGAAGTTATGTTGAGGGTGCATTTTGTTTGAGAGGAGAGGGTAGTGGGTTTCATTTACAGAAATGAAGTGTCAGAGGAATGTTCTTTCCATTTTTGGACCTTGGACATGTTTGCCCTGGGCTGTGGTGTGTGTGTTTTCGTAATCATGAATGCATACAAAAACGATATACCCCGTATGTAAGTTTATGTTGAGGGTGCATTGTGTTTGAGAGGAGAGGGTAGTGGGTTTCATTTATAGAAATGCGGTGTCAGAGGAATGTTCTTTTTCTTTTTTGGATCCTGGACATGTTTGCCCTGGGCTGTGGTGTGTATGTTTTCCTTTCTTTATGGATGTGCGAGGCTTCAGGCCTGGGGTTGCCTCCGAGGCTGGCCGGAAAACAGTCAGACCAACCTAAGTGAAGGTGGGCCTGGTAAAGAAGCCGGGCCTCATAATAGGTCGGTAGGGGAATTTCTGGGCCTGAAAACAGGCACCAGCCCCAGTAATTGGCTGACAGGCCCAACGTCCAGTTAGTTATAGAGGCTGGGACGAGAACTCAGATCGAAGTTGGGAGGAAGCCCTGCCTACTGGGCGAAGATGCTCAGAGCAGGACAAAAGGAAGGAGCCCTTCGTGAACAACGCATTCAGGCAAGGAGTAGCTTGCTTGCGGCAGCACTGATGTGTTCCAAGATCGGAGGAGCACGACTCGAGAAGGAAGAAACAGATGTCGTGGCCTCCAGCTGGCGGCAGCAGGGCAGCAGGGTGGGGTACTGTGGAAGAGGTTGGGAAGAGTAGGAAGGTAGTGGGGACTGGTGGTGCGTACCTGGTGTTGGTGAAGGAAGCCTGTTTGAGAAGAATAAAGGAGCATTTGGTGAGTGACACGTGGACAAGAAGTGGGGTGTAGTAGGCTAGCATGAGTAGAGGAAGTAGGAAGTAAAGTAGAGCGTCCACATCACAGCAAGGCTACAATATTGTCGCTGAATTGATGAATGGAAGCAAGGAGGTGGGCTTTCTTTATCAAGAGACTTTAGCGAGTTTGCTCCTGATTGATTGGCTATCAACTTTAGTATTTTGCTTTCAACTAAGGGCAATCATGCTTGTTGCTCTATGAGTTTTTTTGGAAAATTTGTGTTCTCATTGCATGGTTCCTTGCGATTTGATATCGCAGTGGGTTTAAAGACGCGCCCCATCCTGGCTGCCGTGGCAGGTCATATAGTGCGAACACATGGGTGAAAGTTTCATGAGAAATGCGACATGGCGGTGAGAGGATATTGGCACTTGTCATTCATTGGGTTTTAGTGGCATTGTATTGTTGGTGGTTTATGAGGATTGACGGGTCATCAAATGATGCCATATATTGTGTGGTTGGCCTATTCTTCTTACCGTTAGGAAGAGCATTTTGCTTGAGAGTCAGCTGATTGTCAGGTGCCAAAGCGCACTACCTTGAGAGTCAACCTTCTTCTGGTGCATCTGGTGGGAGAAGGGCGGTGCATGGGAAGTGCGCTGGGTGGACGAAGCACATGATGTGGGACTAGAACACGCATGTGTGCACAAATCACACGTAGCTTGAGCAGCAGTATAAGCATGGTGGCCTTGGAAGGGAAGTTGTCTATGGATGCGACTCTAAATAAAACCTACTGAGTATTTAAACCTCTAGTACCTCTGCCAGTGTTGGGAAATTACAAGTTTTAGCCTATTCTCGAAGAATTCGGGGGTGGGACCTAGGGTCGGCAAGTCCCATAAATCTTAGTTTTCTTTTGCGCGCGTGTTGTCGTAGCAAACACCCTTACAAGGGTATTTGCCGTTCTTTTTAAAGGTCGCACTGGGTGCGTCCTTGATCAATGAAATGCGTTGATGAGGTAAAACCCGTCAGGGCGCTTACCTCGGCAACCTCGCTCTTGGCAAGACTCCGAGTTGAATACGACCAAATTAGGGAGTAATGTGGGGCACGCATTATTGCGTTGCACTGTGAGGTGGCCATTAGTCATCGGCAAATACTCCGAGTTGAATACGACCAAATTAGAGAGTAATGTGTTCCGGACTTCTACTCGGCTGCAATATTACTCCTACTTCAGCCTCGCTAACCCGACTTCAACTTCGAGCTTTTTATCAGTTGGACTACTTCGTTTCCCCCTCCGCCATAGAGTTCCCCTCATTCCCACGCATCCTTCACCCTCGAGCTTACCCTGCAGTTGCATGATGACCCCTATTTTCCCTACTCACGTGGGTGTGTTCGTCTGCCGCCTTTTTGCCTTACCATACGTTGCGCGCCCTCCTCTAGAGTCTACATTTTCTTTGCTCGCAGCTTTTGGCCACATGTCTATGTCGGCATAGCCCTCTTTCCTTCCAATGAGGCAGGGCAAAATCCGTGATCTGCTCCAGCTGCTTTTCCTCAGAATATTGTAACCATGATCACAATGGCACTCAGAGGAATGTATCCAACCATTTTAACGATCGAATACACGTTTCCGTTTCTTAAGGTGTCGACGCAGTTGTTATCTATCCCCGTCTTGGTGGGGATACTAAACTCACGTCCGTCCGCTCCTTGCTCATCAAGCTCAAGCACTCTTTAGTTTTCTTTTTAAAGTTCTTTTTTTTTTTTTTTTGGTACTTCTTCGCTGTCGGTCCCGGAGCCAGTTTCCGGCCTGGTCAATGGACGAAAAAACGGAGAAAAATAAAAATAAAAATAAAAATAATAGAATTGAAGAGGACGAGGATCTGCCAATGCCCTCTTGGTCTTGCCAGTCGAACCCAGGTTTGGGCCCGTCCGGCAAAACCAAGGGGGATAGTCACTTAAGACCCTCGACCCCTCAGTCTCCGCCGGTTGCACTCCTTTGCTCCATCGTCGCTTGCCAGCCTTGAACCCCAAACCCGTCGTTTGAAAGTTCAATACCGTAACCATTAGAACTAGGCCAAAGGCTACGCTAGGTAAGTGTGAACCTGCATATGAATAATCGTGGGACCGTGATTGGTCCTACCCGCACAAACCAGGCCTCCGCCTTGGCCTATTGGCCAACCTCCTGGCCGTCAAAAGATGCTGCCCGCGAGGCGCACTGAAGTCGAAGGTCGATTGTAGATACCATAACCAGGAGCTGTTGCATAAGTGTCGAGGAAGAGTAGGAGATAAAGGGGAGGTATAGGTCAGTCACGATAGCGAAAAGGAAGTCGATGGGCACGCTGAGGGCGAGACGACGCGACTGCAACAACAAGCAGATCCACACCCGCGGGTGAGAAAGAACCCGAGACAGGTACTGGTGGTGCAGGAAGGCCCATTGATGTACTATAGGGGATATTAGTGGTCGCTTAAGTAGATGGGTTAGTGTGAGGATGATAAGTGGGAGGGGAGGACGATGGAGGGAAATGATGAGCACGATTGTAAGCACGCACGAAAGTCATGGCATGCTTCACGTGCTTGAGAGGCTCCCAAGTAGACTCCTCGTCACGATAACCCTTCTAGTGAACGAGATACTCGAGGCGGGGAGGATCACCGTCGGTCATACATTGGAACACAATGTTAGAAAGAACAAAATCCTCGTGATCCTCAATGATGATAGGAGAGGGGCGAGGGTAAGAGGAGACCGTTTGAAGAGGCGCAATAGAGATACATGAAACATGTCATGTAGGTAAGCGCAGTACATGGAATCGGGGAACTTCAAGTTGAAGCTCATCGAACAGTCGTGGTTGGGTCCAACATGTGCAAGAATGGTGCATGGACCGATATATCGATGTGTGAATTTTCGAAGTGTGTTGGCTTCAGGCTGGAAGTGACGTGCGTCGACAAGAACCTCATCGCCAACTTGAAGGGATGGTCGATGCGAGAGCGATTGGTGCCAGTCGCCATACGAGCTTGGAAGTTAGCAATACTTTCACGACCCTTGCTAAGAAGCGCATCCATCTCCTTTACCCAGTCGTCGAGTGCTGGGCATTTGGTGTCGCGATGAATCTGAGATGGACGAAGAAGATCAGATGGGACACGAGGGTGATATCCTAAGTCACAATAGTAGGGGGACATGCCAATGGCAGGAAAAATAGTGTGGTTGTAAGCGATCCCTGCGTGAGCAAGGTGCAGATCCCAATCAGAGTCGTTCTCAACAAACTTCCTGAGGATACTTCCAAGAGTTTTGTTGGTGATCTCAGTCTGTCCATCTAACTGGGGGTGATAGGAGGAGGAGAAGAGGAGCTCGGAGCCATAGATCTCTTGGATCCCACGACAGAAGTGAGAAGTAAAGTAGGGATAGCGATCATAAATGATGCTAGTAGGAAGACCTTGATGAATGGCAATGCGGTTGAAGTATAGGGAGGCGATGTCTTTGGTTGAACTAGCATACTTGCAAGGGAAAAAGTGAGCATGCTTAATCAGCCGACAGACAACGACGAAGATGACATCATGGCCTCGTGGGGTAAGGGGACGAAGAGGATTCATGAAGTCCATGGAAACATAAGTCCAACGCTGCGTTGGAATGGGCAAGGGCTGAAGAAGACCGTTGGGGGGGTGGTTGGGAATGTTAGCCTCCTGGCAGATTCTGCAGGTGCAAACGTACTCCGTAGTGAAGGGACAACGGTGCTCCCAGTAGTAATGGCGGTAAAGATGGTTAAGGGTCTTGAAGACACCGAGATCACCGGGGTGCACTGGTCGTGACACTCAACGACGACCCGAATGTGGAGCTGGCGAGTAGAGGGTTCGCATAAGCAGGGAGTACGTGTTACCTTGGAGACCAAGCTGGTATAGGAGTTTAGAGGGACCGAGGTGGAAGTTAGTGATCGTCTTGCCAACTTGTAGGTCAACATAGGTGGACTAAAACTCGGGGCACTGGGTGTATGCCTGGCGGTACTCATCCAGAAAGGTGGGGTGGATGGTGGAAGCTGAAATAGCAGCAGATAGCTGATGATCCTCACACTGAAGGTCAGGGCAACGGGATAATGCATCTGCTACGCGATTGCTCTCGCCATAAATCTTCTTGATGGTGAAGTCGAACTATGAGAGGTCGCACCACCAACAAGTCTAGCGGGAAGTGAGCTTAGGCTTCGTTTGGGAGGTGGCGCAAACAGAGTTGTCCGTCAGAACGATGAAAGTGTGACCGTGCAAGTAATGACGCCACTTCTTTACGACGTAGAGCAGCGCAAGGACCTCACGCTCGTCGGCAATATAGTTACGCTTTGCGGGAAGCAGCTGTCGAGATAGATAGGCAACGAGGCACTCTCCATCGCGAGACTCGATTGTATCGTCGTCAACAATGTCAAGGAAATATGGGGGCGGGGCCCGTGAAGGGGTGGGCTCGATGGTGCAAGTTGAGCCGCAGTCGCTGGAGGTGGGGGAGGGAAGCGAGGAGTGCGAGGGCGACGAGACTCTATGGAGTTGGGAGGAGTAGACGGGGCAAGGTAGATATGAGAGAGGACGACTCCAATAGCGAAGTCCGAAGCATCCGTGGTGACGATGAATGAACGAGAGTAGTCAGGCAAGTGTAAGACTGGAGCCGACGTGATAAGCCGCTTGAGGGAGCGGAAGGCGTCCTCAAAGCTGGGGTCCAATGAAGGGGTAGACACCCTCGGGTCAGAGGAGTAAGCTGGGAAGAATGTTGCACGTAGTTTTTGAGGAAAGGACTGTAGTAGTTGGTCAAACTGAGAAAACCACGCAGGGCAGAAAGAGAGGCAGGGGTAGGCTAATCGATGATGGCCTAGATGTTCGAGTCGTCCATGTGAAGACCGTGCTAAGATACGTGATGCCGAGTAAGTCGACTTTGGGTTCAACAAAGCTGCATTTGGAAAGCTTCGCATAAAATCCGTGGTCGAGCAGTCATTGCAGGACATTGCGCAGATGGGTCTGGTGATCCTCTAAGGTACGACTGTAGATCAGGATGTCGTCAATATAGACTAGAACAGAGTCCTCAAGAAGTTCTTGGAACATATTGTTCATAGCCATCTGGAAAGTGGCGGGGCCATTACGGAGACCGAAAGGCATGACAATAAACTTGTAGTGCTCGAAACGAGAACGAAAATCAGTCTTGGGTTGGTCCTCTTCGACTACACGGATTTGGTGGTATCCGCTACGGAGATAGATCTTCGTGAAGAATTGGTGGCCAGCGAGGCGGTCAAACAGATCATCTTCGTGGTGCATGGGGTAATTGTTTTTTACCGTGTAGTGGTTGAGACGACGATAGTCAATGCAGAAGCGAAGGGTGTCGTCCCTTTTGCGATTGAAGTGGACAGGTGCATTCCATAGGGAAACACTCGGTTTGACGAAGCCCTGATGAAGCAACTCCTCAAGTTGGCGCTTGAGTTCCTGGGTTTCGGGAACTGAAAGCGGTATGGGTCACGATTTTGAATGCGATAGCTGGGCTCGAGATCGCGCATGGGAGGAATACTGTTGTAGGAGATGGATGAGGGGAAAACATCGAGATACTCATGAAGCAGGGCACCAACGCTAGGCTGCAAGGAAGAAAGAAGGGTGTCAAATTCCTTGGCAGCGACGTCGTTGGAAGTAGAGGTGGAGGGAGTCTGTGTGGGGATAGGGATTGAGGTTTATCAGTGGTAAGGGAAGCGACAAAGTGAGGTGGGCTAGCAAGGGTAGAGGAGGGTAAGGAAGCTGAGGAACCAAGAGGGTCGGGGGGCTCGGGAGGTGGTGGATCGAGCTCGACTAACTCAACATCCATATGCATGGAGTTACAAGTGAGAAGATCCGTGATGTGAACAACACAAAGTTCGACATCGGGGTGACGAAGGAAGTGGTGAAACTGGGTAGGTGACATTGATCGGGGGTGGATGAGTAGAGTCCGATTTGCCTAACAATGGAATGCGGTAACGCTTCCCATCCTTGGCGTCAAGGATGAGATCGTTGTAGGCCCAATCGGGACCAGAGTGGGCGAACTGGTGGGAATATGCATTGTCGAGAACAAGATCGTACAAGGTTTCCATGACGTCAAAGGTCCACTGGTCATGGAACCGAGGGGCCTTGCAAAGACTATGGGGCATCCTCAAGGGGAAGGCGAACGAAAGATCAGGCTCCACATAGTCGACAAAGGACTTGGCCCGATCGCCACCAAGCATGATATTGACAGTGGAAGGGTAGAGGGATGTATAGAGGGATGCCTCCTTAGCTACGCGAGGATGGATGAAGTCGCCGGTAGAGCAAACGTCCCATAGTGCGCGATACACTCTAGTAGAGGTCCCGAGGCGCAATGGAATAATTGGTAAAGTGCGATCGGGATTGTGTAGGCGTTGAGACATTGTGGACATGGTGCATTCTTTAAGGCGGAGACGTTCTTGACAGCCCTTAAGACACTCGAGGTCCAGGAAGTCAATGATATCCTTGGCTGCAATAAGGGAAGCACTGCAGCGGGCTGTGCGAAGAGCACGCTTGGTAGGAGGACGTGGAGGAGAGGGATCACGAGAGATGCTAGGCGAGGGAGGAGAAGGTATACTAGTGTCGGTAGGGTCAACCAAACATAAGGTCGGAGCAGAGTTATCGGGAAGAGTAGGAAGTGGCGCGAAGGTACAGTTGCGAGCGGGTATGCGTGCTGGGGAACGAGACATCTCGGCTAAGTGGGTGCTGCGCTGGAGGTCGAGACGAGGGGAACAGCCTGAGGGTGAGCTTGCTGTGCGAAGTGACGTTGGAGGGCGTCTGCGTACGGGCAGGTAGAGGTGGTGTGGCCAGCGAGGGGCAACAAGTATAGATGCCTCGTGCACGAAGGTAAAGATGGTCAAGCGGCTGCGAGAAAACACAAAATCCGCTGTAAGAGGTTGCTGAGGGATCGAAAAGTGTGCCCTCGAGGACGAGGACTGACGACGAAGGAAGGCATAGAAGGCCCGGGCAAGGTGGTCGTCTTGGGATGAGACATCGTCATCGACGGGGGAGGGGGAGTCAAGTCCCTGATTGGGATTGCTCGCAGAATTGTCTGAGGCGATGCCGTCGTTCCCCAACACGCAGGATTGTCTGTGTGTTCGAACCACAACCATACCTGCAATCACATCAAAGATCAACAAAAGTCCACGCACTATACGGGGTCGACTTCAACCATTCTCGATGCTCATGCCCCTTGCTTTAGCCATACAAACCTCACTCTTGTGCAACTCCCAAAAATAAATACTCGGTACTTCTGTTAAATGACCATTCAATAAAGTCCGGGTAAAAACACAATGAAACAATTCAACCCACAGGGCTAAAGCCTTTAGGTTAAGTGGCAAGAGTGGATTGGAGTTGAATCGTAGACCGACGAGTCGGCAACCGACCTGTTATCAGTGATAACAGAAGATGATCCTCAAGGGATCAAGATGAATTTAGCCCAAATCCTGAATCAAACGGTCAAGAGGACCTGTAACACAAAACAGGCCAATCCCCAAGCTAAACCTATAAGTCCATGGAGGATAATCCCCATATCACCATCCCATTCAAACCACCTTAATTAACTAAGCCTGGATCTACTTATAAGCAGTGCCCAAAGCAAAGGTGGACCCTGACATAATCTCCCCTATTCAGGGTGGATCGCCAAAATCGCCACCTGTCAAAATATAATCTAACTCCTCTACATTAAGAAAATTTCAGCAGCGCTTCCCGTAGGAAAAGTGTCTTTCCAGAACTCATATAAGTCCAAATATGAAAACCGAAATAATCTTTAACTCTGGAAAGTCAGATTTTGTTTAACTCCCTGAATTAGTAAAAATTTGGGCAGCACTCCCGTTAGGGAGGGAGACTTTCCAGATTTATACTAAGTCAGATATGAACTCAAAAGGCAACTTGAGTCCAACTTAGACAAATTTTAACCAACTCCTTAGTTTTGCAGAAATTTCGGCAGCACTCCCTTTAGAAAAGTGCTATTCTAAAATTTATATAAAGCCAAGTCCAGAATTTGAGAATAACCTTGACTTCTCAAAGTCCAATTTTTTCTAACTCCCTGAATTAGTAAAAATTTGGGCAGCACTCCCTTTAGAAAGGAGACTTTTTCAGATTTTTACTAGGTCAGATATACAGAAAAGATAAGTTGAACTTTGGCAAGTCAACAATTGACTAACTCCTTGGATTTGTAGAAATTTCGGCAGTGCTTCCCGTAGGGAAAGTAGCTTGCCAAGATTTATACAAAGCCGAGTACAAAAAATCATCCCAGAAAATGCGAGAATTGATCGAAGTAAAAAAACTTAGCTCAGAAAATGCAGGAATTGAAACTAACTCCTATGGCTCTAGCACATGGCGAGCGATTAAAGCAACTACCTACCAAACTGAACCTCAGACCAAGTAGTAGCCTCATTCAGTCACATGCAGGCCAAGCCACAAAGGTAAGTACTCTCACCAACCCCAAGTCAACCTGAACAAACAATAGTTCATGCTCTCTCAATGCTTTATCCCCTTATACCAGCTTTCATAAGGCATAGGTCAGGCCACCTGAACTTACAGAGCACGCCCAACTTAGCCAGGCCTAAAGTCAGAATACCTAAACTTATAGAGCGTTCTGACTCAGCCAAGTATACACAAACAGAGGGCACACCTACTTTTCTCTTCCTTTGGGCATACGACTAAGCCATTCATCTTAGAAACAATGCTTAATCGCCCTGAACCGTTTAATATCCAAGTTTTATATATCTCTCTGAACTTTAATCTTCAAGGTGGGCGTGGGGCTGAGCCATTCATCTTAGAAACAATGCTCAACCGGCCCAAGTTACCTTCAGTTATACTATTAATTGTACTCTCTTCAAATTGTGGTAAGCTATAGTCAGACCGTCCAATCTTATGGAACCCGTGTCTGACTAGCCTGTTCTTAATAAAATAATAATAACATATAGCCAGATTATAACCCTTGGGTTCCAGCATGTACGAGGCTTTGAGTCAAACCCCCTGAACTTACAGAAGGGTCCGCCTCTCCACCTGATTCCTTTCTCTCTGAGCCTTCCTGTGTGTGGCATTGGGTCAAGCCCCCTGAACTTACAGAAGGGCCTGCCCTTTGTCAGGTTTATTTCCCTTAAAACAAATGCAGGAAGAGGCTGAGCCTCCTCAACTTACAGAACAACTCGGCCCCCTCGTTTAAAAACAAAAGAAGCTCAGGAAAACCCAAAGAAAACAAGGCAACTCAAGGCACCAAAACTTATTGAGCGCCCCGAGTCCCTGGAAATCAAGCGCAATCAGCCCCTCGCCAGTCAGAGCAGTCAGGACACCTAAACTTATAGAGCGTCCTGACCCTCCACGCAACTCACAACACCGGGTCTCCCCAAACTTATGGGGACGTCCCAGCCTCCAGAGCTCCAGGCTACCTAAACTTATAGAGTGGCCTGATGCTCAATGCAAAACCATAATAAACAAAGTACTGGGTTTCCCCAGCCTCAGCGACCCAGTCAAACCGCATGCAACACCACCTTCCCCCCAATCTTCCCCCAGATGCATTTTTTTTAACAATCTGCTTTCAGGCAGTCAACAAATCTGAAACTAAGATTGCACACTCATTCCTTTACTTTATCTGAGGTCAGATCCTGAAAGCCAAGCCAAAGTCAAAGTACAGGGGACATGCAACATAACCAGCCAAATGTAGAAAGGTGTATAGGTAGGGGCTATAATTCGGGTGTATAAAGGGAGTCAGGGAATTACCACTCAGTTCCCTGCCTCCAGGACTCCTCCTGAGTCTCGGCAGAGCTCCCGCAATCGGTGGGGCGAACCTCCCACAGAGGCCTTGGCGCGGGTTACGGGTTGCAATCCCACCTGCCGCCTTCCTCTCAGAACCAACAGACTAGACTTAGAGTAAGAGGGGCAGAAGTAGGGGGTTTGAGTCGCTCAGGTACAAGAGGGGTGCACTCAGATTCGTGAGAGAGGGCCTTCAAATCTTTGTGCGCCTGAGGGCCCCGCAATGGTGGCCAACGTGACAGCTTGGTCACCGCCGAAGTAACCCGTCCTGACGAGCTTTTAACTCATAGCACCTGGCTTCCTTCCTAAGTCCGACTCTTCCATGTCCAACGACAACCGTCCAACACCCCGCATTAGTCCTTATGTGCCGCCGCAACACCCATCGGCGGCCAGCAGCAGTCAACAGCAACGGTCCACAGCAGCAACGACAATCACCGCGCAGTATGCAGCGGTAACCTGTGCTTGGTTAGCAGCAGCAGTAATCACCCTCTAGAGAGTTCGCACCAGCAGCAGCACCCACACTGCATGAAGACGCCGATCCCGCAAACCGCCAATCTTGCGGGCTGCCATCCTTTGCAGACTGCTACCAAGTCCAGGTATGTACCCCTTTCCTTCTCACTCTACACCATCATGTCCCGTAGTGGAACCGTAGTCATATGACCCTCCCGTCCGCAGTAGACTCTGTCATCTGCAGCAGCGCGGCAACCAAGGCGGCCTGCGAAGCCCACAACAGAAGGGCCGTAAAGACCACTGCAGTTTTCGATTCAGTGGCCACAATAGTCTCCCCTCTCCAACCTTTGCAGACGCCGGACTACTCTGCTGGGTCATCTTTGGAAGGACTCGGACCGGCGGGTCACGGGCAGAAGGACAACAGCGGGGCGCAGACAAGGTCGCTCATACATCCAGCACATAGCAAACAGCGCATCACCTACTCACACCGCGATTGAATACAGCAGACTATCAGTTCCCGCCACCCCCTGAGTAAGGAGGTCGATTTGACACACATCCGTTGTTCCCCGCAGGCGCCTCAGATATCCCAACCCGAGCGGTCTCCTACTCCGCCCAGGTACATGCCCCCTCTCCCTCTCACATTCTCTCTGCCTCTCTCTTACCCCCCTTTCTGGCACTTGGTCACTCCTGCACACCTCCCCACTGCTGCCTCCAGGCAACGATAAACCTCCCCCTTCGTAGCGACTAGGTGTATTGCTGGCTGAAAACCAGCTCATCAGTGCCCCGCCAGGTATCCGTTTCCCGCCCATCAAGTCCTACCGGCTTCCAGGTAAGTCTCCGACATCGCGACAAGCCCCACACGAGCTCAATCGATAACTGAGCAAAGTTCGAATGAACCTTCCGCTAAGATGCGGGTAGGTTCATTTCCCCTTCTCACGGCCTCCTCCTGGCGCAACCTCCTCACTAACAATCTCAAAGACTACCCACTAAACTCTAAATCTAACACAGCCATTCAATTCGCTTCGTTCCCAAACCTCAGTCTTGCATCTCATCCCGCTCGAATCCATCGAGAATCGAGCGGGGTCCCGAACTTTAACTCTCACTATCGTCCCTCCCGCCATAGCCTCGGCGCAGTGAGTTCTCTGACTGACCTCCTTTCTTCTAACTCTTTTACTAATCTGACACTCCCAATAGATTCGCCTTGTCAAATACTCCCGATCTCAGCTCTTCTCGCGCTCGATTCCATTACGAATCGAGCATATCACACTTTCCTGGCCGCGCCCATCTCTTCACTTGCCACTGCCGTTCCTTCCGAATGAACCGGGCGCGGAAATGCGTCCAAGGTTCATTTCCTCTACTCGTGCCTTCGAGCCCTCCTTCTGCCAGCCTCTCTATCACCCGCATGCACCCGGCGCCGGATCTCGTCTTGATTCGTTCGCCCTCTCCCCCCCGTTATACCATATCCCTCCTTCTTCAGCCATCCTCGCGCACCTTCGTTCCTTCCTAACTCCCTTTACACTCCCCCACTCGCCG